TTGGCCTATTCAGGTTTTCTGATTCTTCCTGATTCAGTTTTTAGAGATTGTAATTTTCTACGAATTTTTCCATGTCATTCACATTGTCCAGCTTGTTGGCATATAGTTGTTCATTGTATTTTCTTACAGTACTTTGTATTTTTGTGGTGTCAGTGGTTACTTCACTTTCATTTCTGATTTTATTTATTTGTGTCCTCTCTCTTTGTTTCTTGAGGATTCTGGCTAACAGTTCATCAATCTTTTTTAAAAATATATATATTTTATTGATTTTTTACAGAGAGGAAAGGAGAGAGATAGAGAGTTAGAAACATCGATGAGAGAGAAACATCGATCAGCCGCCTCCTGCACACCTCCTACTGGGGATGTGCCCGCAACCAAGGTACATGCCCTTGACTGGAATCGAACCTGGGACCTTTCAGTCCACAGGCCAACGCTCTATCTACTGAGCCAAACTGGTTACGGCGTGGTTCATCAATCTTGTTTATCCTTTTTAAAAAAACAGCTCTTGGTTTCATTGTTTTTTTGTGTGTGTGTGTGTATTGTCTTTAGTTTCTATGTCATTATTTCTGCTCTAATCTTTATTATTTACTTCCTTCTACTACTCTGGGCTTTTCTTGTTTTTCTCTTTCAAGTTCTTTAAGTTGTAGGGTTAAATAGTTTATTGCTGATTTGTCTTGTTTTTTGAGGTAGGCCTGCTATGACCTTCCCTCTCAGGACTGCTTTTGTTGTGTCCCAGAATTTTGGGTTGTTGTGTGTTCATTTTCATTTGTTTCTAGGAATTTTTTTATTTCTTTCTTGATCTCATTGGTAGCCCATTCATTGTTAATAACATGCTACTTAGCTTCCATGTGTTTGAATGTTTTGGGGTGTTTTTACTGTAGTTGATTTCTAATTTCATTCCACTGTGATCTGAGAAGCTGATTTATATGATTTCAATCTTCTTGAACTTGTAGAGACTTGTTTTGTGTCCTAACATGTGGTCTATCTTTGTGAATGATGCATGTGCATGTGAGAAGAATGTATATTCTGCAGCTTTGGGGTGAAATGTTCTATAAAAGTCAATTAAATCCATCTGATCCAGTGTGTCCTTTAGAGTCTCTGTTTCCTTGTTAAGTTTTTGTCTGGAAGATCTATCCAGTGAAGTCAGGGGGGTTTTAGAGTTCCCTACTATGACTGTATTGTTGTTGATCTCTCCGTTAAAGTCCTATAGAAGGGTATTTGTTTGTTAGTTTGTTTGTTTGTTTTTTGTACATTGAGGTGCTTCTATATCGGGTGCATACATGTTTACCAGGGTTATATTCTCATGTTGGATTGATCCCTTTAGTAATATGTAGTGACCTTTGTTGTCTATTGTGACGGCCTTCATTTTGAAGTCTTTTTTGTTGAATATGAGAATTGCTACTCCAGCTTTTTTTTCTTTCTCACTTGCATGGAATATTTTTTTCCAACCCTTCACTCTCATGCTGTGTGTATCTTTTGTTCTGACTTGGGTCTCTTATAGACAGCATATAGATGGGTCATGTTTTTTTATCCAATCATGTCTTTTGATTGGGGCCTTTAATCCATTTGTATTTAGGGTTATTATTGATAGGTACTTATTTATTGCCATTTTAATTCTGTATGCCTAGGTTTCTCTCTCTATTTCTTCTCATTACAACAGTCCCTTTAGCATTTCTTATAATGCTGGCTTGGTGGTGATGAACTCCTTGAGCCTCTTTTTGTCTGGGAAGCTCTTTATTTCACCATCTATTTAGAATGTTAGCCTTGCTGGATATAATAATCTTGGTCTCAGATCCTTGCTTTCCATTACCTTGAGTACTTCATGCCATTCCCTTCTGGCCTGTAGAGTTTCTGATGAGTAATCAGGTGTCAGCCTTATGGGAGCTCCTTTGTAGGTAACAGTTTGCTTTTCTCTTGCTGCCTTTAAGATTCTCTCTTTGGCCCTAGCTGGTTTAGCTCAATGCATAGAGTGCCGGCCTGCAAACTGAAGAGTCCCAGGTTCAATTCCGGTCAAGGGTACATGCCCAGGTTGTGGGCTCAGACTCCATTGGGGGGAGGGAGGTGCAGAAGGCAGCTGGTCCATGATTCTCTCTCATCATTGATGCTTCTATATCTCTCTCCCTCTCCCTTTCTCTCTGAAATCAATAAAAAAATATATATTTTTAGAAAAGATCCTTTCTTTGTCTTTAATTTTTGGCATTTTAATTGTGCTGTGTCTGGGTATGGGTCTGTTTGGGTTCTTGTTTGAGATTCTCTGTGCCTCCTAAACTTGTGTGACTTTTTCCTTTACCCGGTTAGAGAAGTTTCTGCCATTATTCCTTCTAACACTTTCTCTATTCCTTTCTCCCTTTCTGCCTCTTCTGGTACACCTGCTATTTGAATATTGTTACGTTTCACATTGTCCCACAGCTCCCTTAAGCTGTCCTGCTGTTTTTTAATTGTTTTTTATTTTGGCTCTCTGATTGAGCACCCACTGCCATAGTGTGAGAATTGGTCTAGATGTTGGAAATCTTGCTGAAAACATGTGAACGCTCCCATGTTTACTGCAGTTTCTCCTTGACTGACATGGCAGTGCATTTGTACTTTGCAGCCATCTGGAGAGGGGCAGCCAGAACAATGTCTCCCCTGCAGTCCAGTCAGAACAATGTCTTCATTTTATTCCAGAAGCAAGTAGGAGGTAACAGATGGAGAGACCCGGGAGTGGGAATGTGGTGTCCCCTTGCCCTGCCCTGTGCCCTATGGACTTCCCTGGGCCCCTCTCCTCGCAGCGCCTCAGGCTTAGATCCAGATCACCAGTGCGCATGCCCTGGGGTCTTTGCTTCCCCTCCCCAGGGCCTCTCTGAGCTCTGGGCCTGGGGAGCAAAGGTCCGAGGGCGGAGGTGTGACCCATCATCCCACCTCAAGCTTGGTTCCCCTCTGTGAACGTCAAGGTCACGCCTGCCTACTCGGTCACTCTATAAAACTCCCAACACCAAGGAGCTGTGTCCGCAGGAGGGCAGTGCCCAGCTCACTGCCCTGTGTGGCCAGCTCAGTGCACCGGCCAGGGCTCCGTCAGACCTGCTCCTGGTTGCAGCTCTGTGATTGGAAACCGTGCAACTTTTGTCACAAGCAAAATGGAGTGTAAAATGGTGCAGCTACTGTGGAAAACAGTCTGGCAGTTCCTTAAAAAATTAAACAGAGAGCCCTGGCCAGTGTGTTCAGTGGTTAGAGCATTGTCCCACACACTGAAAGGTCTCAGGTTCGATTCCTGGTCAGAGCAGGTGCCTGAGTTGCAGGTTAGATCCCTACCCTGGTCCAGGTCATGTGGGAGGCAACCAATCGATGTGTCTCTCACATAAGTGTTTCTCCCTCTCTCCCACTTCTCCCTTTTATTCTCTCTAAAAAGCAGTGGAAAAAATATCCTCAGGTGAGGATTAAAAAAAAAAAAAAAAAGTTGCTCGGCCAGCGTGGCTCAGTGGTTGAGCATCAGCCCATGAATCAGGAGATCACTGGTTCAATTCCTAGTCAGGGCACATGCCTGGATTGCAGGCTCGATCCCCATGGGGGCGTGTGCAGGAGGCAGCCGATCAATGTTTCTCTCTCATCATTGATGTTTCTATCTCTCTATCCCTCTCCCTTTCTCTCTGAAATCAATAAATATTTTTTAACAAGTTAAACAGAGTTAACTATGACTCAGCAATTCCACTCCTAGGTATGTACTCCGAAGGAAGTTGAAAGCATACATCCACACAAAACCTTGCACACAAATGTCCATAGCAGCACTATTCATCGTGACAACAGGTAGAAACAACCCAAAGGTTCATCAATGAATGAACGGGTAAGCAACATGTGGCATGCCCATCACATGAAGTGTTATCCAACCATGAAAAGGAGTGAAAACCTGACCCACCTACATAGATGAGCCTCAAAAACATGCCAAGTGAAAGAAGCCAGACAAACAGGTCACCTGTAGTCTGTGATTCTATTCATAGAAAATGTCTGAACGTGCAAGGACACAGGGACAGAGATTAAAAAAAAAAAGTTGCCCGGCCAGGGTGGCCCAGGATCCAGGAGGTCACTGGTTCAATTCCTGGTCAGGGCCCAAGCTCGGGCAGAGCAGTCATTGCCAGGACCTGGGGCGGGCACTGACCGCTAGTGAGGACATTTGCTGGAGCTGTGTGGTCCCTGCACAACTTCATGGCTGTCCTACAAGCCTGCGGTGTGCCCCTTTACAGGGAACCGATGGCGTGTGGACTCCATCTGGCGTTAAAGGGGGTGGCGAGTCCTCCTGGGAGCAGGAGGATGAAGGCAGATGCTGCAGGAAGTGCCCGCAGGCACCAGGCTGGGTGGGCTGTCCCCAGGACGAGTCTGTTACTTACACATTAAACTGACTCAGGCTCGTCTGTCCTGCGGGGGGGCCTCAGGGGCTCCCCACTTCCAGGCCCCAGAAGAGCTTGGGATGCAGAGACATTTCAAGGGGAGGCTCTGGCCCTGGACTGGGTCTTCCTGTGGCACCCAAACCAGACTCCAGGCCCTGAGAGGCAGTGACCAGCGCCCCTTCCCAGGCCCTCCTGGCCTAGACCTGCTGTCCAGGCTTTTTTTTTCCCCCCCCCCCCCCCCAGGCTTCTCCCCGAAGAGGCCCAGGTGGGGACAGACAGACAGCCTTCCTAGACTGTCATCCAGTCATCTGTCCATCATTCATCTGTCCACCTGGGCTCCGCCCCACGCTGCCTCCTCATGGCAAGTGGAGAGGCACAGGGCCGCTTCAGGTCCTGCGCTGAGGTCCTGGAAGAAGGCCAGGCGGGGGTAGAGGGTGGGTGTCCTGCGGGGCCTCGGGAGCCAGAGAGGCCCAGAGGCGGCAGCTGGGGCTCTGCCTCCCAGAGGTTTTCGTAAGGCTCGCTTGACCCTAATGAGGAAAAAGAAAGACTGTAGGGCAGGGCTGCTGGTCTCAAAGGGGGACACTTCGGAGAAGGGTCCTGGCAGGGAACCCCCTGAACTCAGGGTCGCCCACTGTCTTGCAGCGCCCCCAGGGCTGCGGCTGAGCGCCGACCAGCGGGCCCTGGTCTACAGGGAGCTG